TTAAGCAACGGTGATGGGTTTCTGCATGTGTCAGACACCCGGCTGACCAAAAAAATACTCCCTGGAGTAAGTACTCAAATTGCCCTTTGCAACAACTCATGTCCACTTGCAAACTCTTGTCTTTGCAAAACATGGTTCACTTGTTCTAATGTCTCAGTGTATCCGTCATTTATTTTATTACCTAAAAGTATTGTCGTGGGTTTATTTTCCTTATCCCGTTTAAAATCTTTTGTACATTCATTGTGAAACGATCCTCACTATGTAGCCAGAGAAGGTGATGTAATAGTAGGCTATAGGAACAATCACACACAATTATATGGCTGTAGAACATAGGAAAATAACTATGTTTAAGATGTTTAAAAGCATTGAGTTTAATAAGAATGATTACATAAAGGGAGCAGTCTTTTGTTACGGGGTTTCCTCATTAAAAGGCTTCAACATGTGTTTTTAAAAAGTTACGAAAGACAGATGATTGCAATTAAAATCCTTTCAGAAACAAAGTCACGCAGACTGGTTTCATATGCTTTGGCTTTATTAGTCCTACTCCGAACAATGTGCAAATCCTAATTGGGGTAAAATGGGCACTTCCTCGCCTGAGTCATTCTGGACAGTGTCCAGCTGTGAGAATACACACTTTGATGACTGATGTACCGCTGCTTTTACGATGCGAAAAATAGTACTGTGAAAATAAATAAATATGTGAGACTTTAAACAGAATTCATCCCAAATGGTTAAAAGCAACAAATTCCTCCCTGTTGTAATCAATTATTTTTCCATCTCTTCTTTATTACCACCTCACTCCCTGTATAACAAGTGGTGGAAACATCTGCAGCGCATTTTATGGAGTTTGAATCGAAGTTGTTAAAGCTACAGGACCACACGCTAAGACTCGCTAATCAAATTACTTCAGCAGCTCCGTTTGCCAACACTGTTCTCAACAGTTTGCAAAGAGGTGAGCGACGTTTTTCCCCCAACATTTTCACCCGTCTTATTTAATAAAAATAGTTTGTTTTCAAAATCAAGCAAATTTAGCAACTGATCTGGAAATTCCCAAATTGACTGACTTCTTCAACTGAGGTAGGAGTTACGATTACCCCCAGCGAGTTGGGGGTGATGTGTTTGTCTTCAGTTGCTCTTTAGACCATGTTTAACAAAAATAGTCAAGGATCTCACTGCCGGAAACTGCAATGAATGTACTGCCCTTATGATGAGACATGAAACTGAGGTGCCATCTGCCTGTTCAGGTGGATATCAAAGATCTTGTGTCACTCTTCGAAAAGAGAAAGGAATATCTCCAATATCTTAGCCAACAAACCTGCAGATAGTCAATTGATCATTTATTACTTCAAAAATTGTTTGTGGGAGGGACATTGCTGTGTGCAAATTGGCTGCCACATTCACCTATTATAGAAACCTTCGTGAAGGGCTTTGAAGTGTTCAACTCTATATCAAATTTAAGGATTACTTTTATTAGATGAGGACAGGGTAAGACTTGGCTTTGATCATTGCTTCTATAGTCAATCAGCCTCCTGAAATTCATCAAATGAACATAAAATAAATATCGCTTGGCTGAAGCACCAAAGATACACTTATTCACAAGGCGACAGGAGAAAAGTCAAACTAAAATGTTTTTTCTTGCACATGTATATCTATTGCCAAATACACTTATTTACTTTTGCCTTTCATATTTTGGGATTTTAAATAGCTAAACATGGTTTAGACATTAATCTTCTGTGGAGTGTGTCTTCTGTTTCCTTCGAGGTATCCATTGTGTACATATCTCTTACGGATTTCATGTTAGTTATTTTGCAATACCATTTTTCTTTGGAGATACATCATACCATAAGTTGTTCAAATAGGTAGAATTTTTCTGGCAAAGTTGGGAAAAAAGTTTGTAATGCAACTAATTCACCAGCCCATAACTAATATCCATTAATTGATGTTTCTTACAGAGTAGCGATTAGATATCTTTATTTATGTAGTCTATTCTGTGTTCAATGCTTTGCTCATTTAAAAGACAAAGATGGCTCTAGATTTGGTATGAAGTAAGTGCAGCTGTATTGAATATCCCTCAATTAATGTTCTTTGTGATAATTTCTTTACCTGACATCAGTTTAACTGTAGTTACTTTGATTGTCTTCTGAGCTCTACCATTAAGGTTGTCAACTAAGGAAGGGGAGATACAAAAATGGCTCAGGGGATGAACAAGGTGGGCGGTAATGCTGGGAGAATTGAACCGCAAGCTTTTTAACTGTGTTTCGAGCCTTCGTCATAAACAATAACGAAGCATTGATGTTGCCATTCATTCAGCTGACTGATTGCAACTTTTACATAACACGAAGGGGGAAATGCAATATATGTGATATAAAACGGAGTCCTGTAGCTCAGTGGTTAGAGCACTCGCTTTGCAAGTGAGAGACCTGAGTTCAATTCCAGGCAGAGGGCGAAACCTTGGGCAAGTTTCCTTACTCCACACAGAGCCTAATAATAATCCCTCCAAACCCAAAAACAATAATAAATTTGTCATTTTTAATCTACGACTGTTTGTGGGACATTGCTGTGCGCAATTGGCTGCCGCGTTCGCCCACAAATATACAGTCAATTCACTTTACAGTGTGTTCTGTGAAGCTCTTTGGGACGTCCTCCCGACGTGAAAAGCGCTATATCAAATGCAAGGATTATTATTATTATTATTATTATTAAAACGGTATACAAACAGAAGACCCTGGAAATCCACAGCCGAAGAGAGAAAAATCTGGGTTAAAGTTTTGGGTGTGGACGACCCTTCACCAGAATTGCTGTGCATTTTCATGGTGTTGATTTCCATCACAGATTTCCAGCCTTGGCAGTATTTTCTTTTCATGGTTGTTTGTTGGACATTGTTTGGTGAAGACTGGCTGTTGGGTTTGCCTATGGTTTTGGTCTACACTTGACAGTAATCACCTTTGAAAGATTTTAAGATACGAGCATTATTGATCAAATACGGGAATTATTTATTTTCATTTTATAAGAGGAAAAGATCAGATTCCTTTTTAATTTCCCCCCCCCCCCCCCATCTAATGCTTGTACACATAACATTTTATTTTACACTAGTTTATCATTTGAAAGAAACAGGAAGTTTTCCTCTTGATTTATTAATGTGAATTGTTGTTCTATTTCCCCTTCTAACCCGCCTCTCCCCGACTCAAACTCATCGACCCTTTATCTGGTTGTTTGCTGGCTGCAGATCAGTTACCACCTTTATAATAGTAACAGTAATAATAATAATAATAATAATCCTTGCATTTGATGTGGCGCCTTTTCCCGTCATTGAGACGCCTCGAAGCGCTTCACGGAATAGAGCAAAGTGTGCACTTTATGGGGGAAACACGGCAACCGATGGCGCTCGGCGGTGCCCGACAAACGGTCGTGGATTGTTTGACCAATTTTGGGGGGGGATTGTCATTCCCCCGGAAAGCGATCCGCCCATCGGCTGACCACCGGGTTCCCACTGACCGCCGGGTAAACGGAGGCGGGTGGAGTTAGGAAACTTGCCCGACGTTTCGCCCCCTTTGGCGGAGCAACACGCGCTTTGATTCCTGAGCCGCCGGGTCGGGGCGAAGCGCCTGAGGACGTTTTATTGCTCAAGTCCTGTAGTCCTGCAGCTCAGTGGTTAGAGCACTCGCTTTGCAAGTGAGAGACCTGAGTTCAATTCCAGGCAGAGGGCGAAACCTTGGGTAAGTTTCCTTACTCCACACAGAGCCTAATAATAATCCCTCCAAAACCCAAAACAATAATAAATTGGTCATTTTCAATCTACGACTGTTTGTGGGACATTGCTGTGCGCAATTGGCTGCCGCGTTCGCCCACAAATATACAGTCACTTCACTTTACAGTGTGTTCTGTGAAGCGCTTTGGGACGTCCTCCCGACGTGAAAAGCGCTATATCAAATGCGAGGATTTTTATTATTATTAAGTGAAAAGGTTTCTTGTTGCACGGATTTTAGTACCAGTGAAACCTATGAAGACCCGCCTGGTGTGCGGGCGCCGGCCGCCAGGGGGCGCCACTGGGTGGGTGGGTGGTGGGGCGGCAGATTGGGCGGTTTCACGCCCAATTGGGCGTGTTTTGGTGGTCCACTTTGGTGGTGGTTTTGGGAGGAAACAATACCTTTTTATGGATTTTTTTCCCCCCCCAAAAAAAATTACTTTTTTTTTCTTGTCCTTTGAAGATCTTTTTCTTTCTTACACAGTTTCAAACCCACCCCCACCCCCCAGAAAAAAAAACCCTAAAATAATATAATACAAATAATAATACAAAGTTTACTGTATATAATAATAATCCCAATAATACCATATATAATAATATTAATTACTGGGCTGGTTTTTTTGGGGGCTACAAAAGGCGCTATAGTCAAATGCCGGTATAATAATAATTATTGCTACTAATAATGATGATTGTTATTGGTATATTTGGGCCACAAACGGTATTTTAATGTAATTTGTGACCCAAATACCAGCCCAAAGGTCGGGCTACTTTTGGGCTACAAACTGCCGTGTAATTGGGCTACAATTGGGGTCGATTGGGCTACAATTGGGGTCGATTGGGCTACAATTGGGTGTAATTGGGCTACTCGTTGGGCTACTCGTTGGGGGCTCGTGTCTGGGGCGACGGGCGGTGAGGGCCATTGGGCTACTTGTTGGGCTACTTGTTGGGCTACAGAGGCGGGCGGGCGGGCGGGCGCGCGGGCGCTGTGCTGGCGGTTGGGGCGCGAGGAGCCGAGTCAACGGCCGGTGCCGGAGAGAGAGAGAGAGGGAGAGAGAGAGGGAAGGAGAGAGAGAGAGAGAGAAGGAGAGGTGAAGCCGCCCTCCATTGTCCCGGTCGGTCGGGTCGGGCGTGAAGGGAAGAAGAGAAGAAAAAGAGGAGAAGACGAAGAAGAAAAAAGAAAAAAAAGAAGAAGAAGAGCCGAGAGAGAAGGAGACCCTCCACTCCTCCCTCCCCTCCTCTCCCTCCTTCCCTCTCTCTCTCTCTCCCTCCCTCCCCTCCCCCCTCAGTCGCTGAGGGCACAGCCCCGTGAGCGGCAGACGGGAGAGAAGGAGAAAGAGGAGGAGAGGAAGGAGAGAGAGAGAGAGAGAGAGGGAGAGAGAGAGAGAGAGAGAAAAGAGGACAAATAAACCCTCGACGTGAAGGTGAGACCCGGAGCCGCGCGGCCTCTCACCTGTAGCTCATACCCCTCCTCTCCTCTCCTCCTCTCTCTCCTTCTCTCTATCTCCTCTCTCTCTCTCTCTCTTCCCCCCACTCCTTCCCTTCATCCTCTCTCTACCTCCCCGCGCCCTCTCTCTCTCTCTCTCTCCTTCCCTCTCTCCGTCTGTACCGTCTCTCTCTCTCCTTTACCCCCCACCTCCCTTCTCTTTCTCCATCACTCTCTCTCTCCCTCCTTCCCCCCTCTCTCTCTCTCTCCTCTCCCCCTCTCTCCTTCCCTCTCATCTCTCTCTCCTTCCCCCTCTCTCTCCTTTTCTCTCTCCCCCCTTCCCCCCCTCCATCACTCTCTCTCTCCTTTTCTCTCTCTCTCCCTCCTTCCCTCTCTCTCTCCCTCCTCCCCCCCCTCTCTCCTTCCCTCTCATCTCTCTCTCTCCTTTTCTCTCTCTCTCCCTCCTCCCCTCTCTCTCTCTCCCCCCTTTCCCTCTCTCCCTCCTTCCCCCTCTCTCCCTCCTCCCCCCTCTCTCTCTCCCCCCTTTCCCTCTCTCTCTCCCTCCTCCCCCCTCTCTCCTTCCCTCTCATCTCTCTCTCTCCTTTTCTCTCTCTCTCTCCCTCCTCCCCCTCTCTCTCCCCCCTTTCCCTCTCTCCCTCCTTCCCCCCTCTCTCCCTCCTTCCCCCCTCTCTCCTCCCCCCCCCCTCTCTCTCCCCCCCTCTCTCTCTCCCCCCTTTCCCTCTCTCCCCCTCCTCCTCCCCTCTCTCTCTCTCTCCCCCCTTTCCCTCTCTCTCCCCCTCCTCCTCCCCTCTCTCTCTCTCTCCCCCCTTTCCCTCTCTCTCCCCCTCCTCCTCCCCTCTCTCTCTCTCTCCCCCCTTTCCCTCTCTCTCTCCCTCCTTCCCCCTCTCCCGCCGAGTTAAGCTCCAGCAGGTCGGGGGGGGGGTCTTGAATGTGGATTAATGTGAACCTTAGGCCTGAGGGGGTGAAGGAGAAAGAGGGAGGAGGAGGGGGGGACAGTTATATTTCTGCTTAGAGAAGAGAAAGAGATGGAGGGAGAGAGGAACAGAGAGAGAGGGAAAGGTAAAGAGAAAAAGAAAGGGAGAGAGAGGGAGAGGAACAGAGAGAGAGAGAGGGAAAGGGTAAGGAGAGAAAAAGGGAGAGAGAGGGGGGGAGAGGGAGAGGTAAAGAGAAAGAAAGGGAGAGGAACAGAGAGAGAGGGAAAGGTAAGGAGAGAAAAAGGTAGAGAGAGAGAGAGAAAGGGGGAGAGGGAGAGGTAAAGAGAAAGAAAGGGAGAGGAACAGAGAGAGAGAGAGGGGGAAAGGTGAAGAAAGAAAAAGGTAAAGAGAGAGAGAGAGAGAGAGGGGGAGAATCCTCTTTGGGAATGGGGAGAAGGTAAGCCAAGATCAAGATAATATATTTGTTTACACATATATATATATATATATATATATATTCTCTCTCTATATATATACATAATATAAATAAGACTTTAACAGAGCCTTCGGTCACCACCAGACGCCAGAGATGGACCTGGAGCTGATCTGAGCCTTTTTAGTTGTAAGGTTTTGCTTTGGTTTCCCACAAAGGGAGTGAGTGAGTTGAGTGCCTTTCCCTCCGGGTGGGTGGGTGGGTGGTGTTTGGTGGCAGTAGAGAGTGAGGGAGAGAGCGGAGTTACTGTAGGTACCAGGTCCTGCTAAGTCCCTTTCTTTATTGCTGTAACCTCTCTGGTATCTTTTCATCTGTACAGAGAATCTTTTGCGCTGAGCCTTTTTCAGATCGACTTTCGTACGTGAGTGGCATTTCTTTCTTGGAGAAATGTTGCAGGATTTTGTGTGTGTGTGTGTGTGTGTGTTTGCAGGTGTCGTGGTTCTCTTGGCAATCGCAGCAGTTGATGTACAAAGTGCGCCTAATTCCCAGTTAGCTGCAGTGGAATAAGTCAGATTAATGTTCTCCTTGTGAATGCCATTGCATGTTAGGAATGTGGGAGAAAAACTGACCTATTGCCGTTGACTCAGAAAATTTGCCCTAAATGGAATACCCAAATTGAACTCTTAGTTTCTCTTTTTATTCAATAAATCGTCGCTTTTATCTCCTGGTTCATGATGACATGTCAGCTTTTATTAAAACCTCAATAAAGTACTATTAATTTGATTTATAATGGTCAGGTTAACTTTATTGCATAAGGGCAGTTGTTAAGTAGAAACAGTGGAAGGCAGTGACTGAATAAACAAAACTCTTTTAGGAATCTACTTCATGTTTTCCTTTCAGTAATATTTGTGTTTGGGGTTGGTTCGTGAAATGGAGAAGATTTTTCGCCGCCTGGAAATTGCTGCCATGTATGTCACTGGGGCAACAACAACAACAAAATTACATTTCTGTAACGCCGGGAGGACATCCCCACAGCACCGTTGTGTAATTTGGAAAGTTTTGAGCCTTCTGACTAATCTGTTGACATGTCGAGCATAGATTTCCATGTTCCAACTTCAACCTCAGTTGAAGCTCTTCATTCTGGAGTTGGCAATTGGCTGCCGCGTTCGCCCACAAATATACAGTCAATTCACTTTACAGTGTGTTCTGTGAAGCGCTTTGGGACGTCCTCCCGACGTGAAAAGCGCTATATCAAATGCGAGGATTATTATTATTATTATTATTATTGGGTCTGTGGTCTGGACAGGTCTTTTCCATTCCGCAGTTGTGATGTGGGGTCACCGAAGCTTTTTCACCATTTACTAAAACTGAGAAACTATGGTTTGATTTTGGTTATTCCATTCAGGGCATTTTTGGGTCTGATCTCAGGGCGGAGCTCTTCTAAATACTTTTGCTATTCAGTCGTGGAAATCCTTTTTTTAAATTTAAAAACAAGTGTGTTCTTCACGTAGTCTTTTGGCGAGGTGTCTAACTGTGGCATATTGTGTGACATCTGTCGTCAGTTTTCAGTCAGCAATCATTAATACTTGAATGGGCTTCCTGGAAGGAGCTCGATTTTGATGTCAGCAGTTGATTAAGTGAAGAAGATAAATGCATACAATAACACAAAGCAAAAACATTACTTTGGGGAATATTAATTGTATACAGTAGAAATGTGTTTTTGCTGCTATTACTTTGTCTTTTGCCCTTGAGGTTGAGATCAGTGTCATCTCTGACAGACGTATGTGCAACAGGTGAAACTTTCTATGGACTCATTTCATTTCATGCTGGGTCATGTTTACACAGCATTTATATTTTGCTATTTGGATTGGCAGATAAATCAGTACTTCTCGACTGAAAGACCAGTGTATTTATGCATTCAAAGCTGTAGAATTGCTAAAGTATTAAGCTCAAAGATTTCATTTGTTTTAGGATTTACCAAGGAAGTGGCTGGGGAGGAGAATAATTTGTAAGGATTGAGTGATATTTAATAATAATTATATAATTCTTACATTTGATATGGTGCCTTATCACGTCTTAGATGTCTCGAAGCGCTGTACTGTAAAGTGAATGGACTGTATATTTTGTGGGTGAAACATGGCAGTGAATTGTGCACAGCAGTGCCCACAAACAGTCGTGGATTCGGTAAACAAATTCTTATTAATTTTTGAATGGATTATTACCCCCGGAAAAGCAATCCCCTAATTGACTAACATCCGGGTTCCTACTTACTGCTGGGTAAACCAAGGCACGTGGAGGAAGGAAACTTGCCAATGTTTTGCCCCGCCCAGGAATCGAACCCAGGTCCCTCTTGTTTGTGATTCGAGTGCTCTCACCATGAAGTTACGGGATTTATTTTTCGCCGGTTGAGAGCATTCACCCCATTTCACTGGTTGAGAGCTATTCCACTTGATCTGTAATTGTTGCTTCCAAGTTGAGACCCTATCTCTGTCAGACAAATACAGACCCTCAATAGTTGTGCCATGTTTGCATCCGTTTCATCTTCCCCTATGAAGTGTGATCAGCAGTCTTGGATGTGAACTTGTCTCTTTTGACAACAGAATACCTTATCAATGTTTCTTGGGTCTTAGCAACGCAGAAGTCAGTGGATATATTGTTCTTAGAGTGGTTTTCTTTTGTTTGAAGAAACAATTTAGTAAACAGCAAATGAAACAATATTTTGCCAACCACTTCAACAAACTATTCTGGGCTGACTGTTCATGTCCTGTTTGGATTAATGAACAGATCTTTTGTTCTGAGCCAGTTTCAGCTCTGTCTTCAAAAGACAGAATTCAATTGAAAACTGGTTTGGGTTGAAAAAAGGTTCTTTTTTTCTTATGGTCAGTTTGCCTCATTTTACACGTCATTCCTACTTTTCATATTTGATATTCAGGTGCCTCTTAACTCGACATTTCCTCTACCTGATCACAAACATTCATATGTTTAACATGTTCTTTAACAAATAAGCCATTGTTCAGTATGTAACATGGCTTGTTCCTCGTCTGCTGAGGAAGAACGGGCTCTTTTTCACTCACTTGTGCTGGGATATGATTTCACTGATGCCATCAGTTCCTGCAGTACTATGTTCAAGTGGCTCTTCATGTTTTAACCCAGACAGTGGGTATTGACGGGCAAAGCGATCTCGGAGAGCATCAGATATGAGACTAATCCCTGTCCTTGTACGATGGCCATATGAGCAATTTTCAGTTGAGCTTCCAGTGCCTTGGGTCGTCCTCCAGACAGGAAAGGTGCTGTATAATTTGTTTGTTTGTCACTAGTTTGAAATGAGTACTTTTTCCCTTATTCCAATTTAATCCAAGACTCTTACCTAGATTGCTGGGCTACAATGCTACCCTGGGCTCAAATTCGTTACCTCCGCACAGATTGGGGATTAAAAACGAGTCTTTCCTAGTTTCCAGCTTTCTGCTCTTAAAACTACAGGCTGACTGTTACAATGAATTGTTTGGATTCATAAATTCAGATCACGAGTTGTAATGGAACACCAAAATACTCTGCCAGTCAGTGCCTCGGGGTCCTTCTTCACTAATGTTGCTTCTTTAGCGCTATGTAAAAATAGGTCCTCTGATGTAA